AGACTCTTCCCTATCTTACACTTTTATACTTTCACCGACAATTTTGTGATTAAGCCTCATTATACTTTACAGAAAACAAGACACTGCGAACCGTCACGGAGAGGAATTTCATGTTTCAAACTATCAGTAACGCGACGTTTTCCGTAGATACTTTCTTTTTATTAGGTGAGAAACACTTTTTTTATTTCAATAAAGTTTTTATATCAATGAAGAAGAAATTAACTCTTGACAATGTTGTGCAGCGGTTTGTTAGTGACTATACTTTTCTACCGATCTTTGGGCAATCTTAACATCGAGAAAGGCAACTTCTTAAAGACAAGCTTTATCAAGTTCATTATCATGATTCTATATAGATTCGTCAGGTATGTTTCAATTACGATGTAAAAAGGAATATTTTTTTATACGAAACAATTCGATTTACATAGATAATCGAATAATGTACATTTCTTTACTTTTGTGGTTTTTTTTCCTTTCACAAAGATTGACACCAGCTTATCTCTTTGTGCTGGGGATGAACGAAATCGCCATAAAGCATGCTCAAGCAAAGACAGTCTTTTCACTTGCAGTTATCGACCACTTGACCTGCGAAAAGTTCTGGTGGCGTAATGCGCTCTATTTAAACTCGCTATATCCGCGCACGGAAATGGTAAGATGATTTATACTTCACTTATTCTAATGCACTTTTTTTCTCACAAGTACGTATCTTGTGAGACAAGATTATCAACAACGAAATATACAACCCTCCTTGCCTAAATTTATTTTGTAAACGCAAGCATCTGCTGCAAATACGAATCTTCAGAAAAACAAGCACTTCATAACTAAATATTGTTATCGTTACCAGTGAGAAATTTCAATCAGAAAATGTCACAAAGAAGAAAATAAAGAAAAAAATGTTGCCAAATCTTTTCAAAACAATAGTCTTGAACATTCGATAATCAGCAATAATAAACGCGGATATTATGAAATATTACATAAGACGCGGTTATATAAAAGCGTGTTTTCATTAATAATATACTTTCAAGAAGCAATTAGTGGCAAAAAATCATTCGGATCTGTTTCTACGTCGAAGCGATATTTAATATGTCACTTTTTCAGCGCGTAAATTTTCCTGAGACCGACTTTTCTCAGAAAAAACTTTCGTAACTTTGTCCACGAATCAACTTCCATCACGAAAATGTTGGCAATTAATTCGTGACTATTACGTTAATAACTTTTTAGTGCATGCTTTGGAGCTGGTATATGGCCAATGACACGCAGTTCTACGTCCTTGGGATATTTCTTCTTTTACTCTCCGTGAAATATTTCAAGACCGTGATAGCTGTCGTATCGCTGTTGATTGTTTCGTCGTGGTTCACTACGTTTTCCGTAGCCTACAGCAACGATTACATAGCCAGGTAATGTAACGTTTTCTTGGATTCTCGATCGATATTACATTTACGCTTTCAGATCAACGTAATTATCGATATAAACTACTTTCAACATTTAGATTTTTATATGTATATACATTTAACACAGTAGACTGACAAAATTAAATTTTTAAGAAATCTGTATAACGCACTGAAATAACTCATAAAATAAAAAGTGTTTCAATCTTTTTATCGAAATCGGGTGAATGCGCAAATGAACAATATAATAAGCACCTATTAAAGCACCAGTTGTAATTAAAAGCTTTCATTTTAACTAGCTTTCTAGCACACACTTATTATAACGTGATATCGGCATTGTACATACTTTGCATTACTCGCCTGCCGATGCGGTAATATCTGCGCAATATTGCTTATGCGCTTAATTCCTTTATCGACTCTTTGTATAGGATCCAAGAGCCATTCGCTCTCTTCGACGAGCTTTATGATAAACCTTGGTTGAGAGCTGGCCCATATTTCATCGGCACGATTACTGGATATATCCTCTTTAAAACCAAGTGCCAGTTAAAGTTACCTATGGTGAGTTTTCCACATATCGAAATTATTTCCAATGATTTTGCGCTTTCAAGTTGACCATTCAATCGATCAATTAACAATAATATTCATGTATTTACTTTGCCTCGCATGGATATGATATAAATTTGCCAAAGATCTTTTTAATTGCAAAATCTGTATACCGAATATACATATACAGCAAAAATGTAAATAATAAAAGATAACGAAATGATTATATACAAAGGGTAAAATGATAAATATGTATAAGCCGATAAATTTACATAAGTATTCTACAATTAAAAAATAAAAAATAAAAAAAAAATAAATAAAAATGGTGCTTATACTGCGACAACTTTTCATGCATCTTTTAGTGTAAAACAATTTCTCACAACTCTAAACAAATCTCGATTCCCTAGGGAGCGGAATTGATCGGCTGGATTCTGTCCGCGATAATAATGTCCTCAGTGGTGTACGGACTGTATCCCGGAAATTTGACGGTGCTAGTCAGCTCCGTATATGCGGCCTTGGGTCATACCGCGTGGGCAATAGCAGTAGCTTTTGTTGTGATTCAATGCTGCACGGGATCGGCGCGAATGATCAATAGTTTACTCTCACTCAGACTAATGTATCCTCTCTCGAGGCTCACATACTGCGCCTATTTAGTTCACCCCGTTATCATGATGATCACGTGTACACAAATGGACGGACCGCTACATCTTCATAACGGGATTGTGGTAAGATAAAAAAAAATTATTTTTAAAATGTAAAATTAGTTTTTGCGCGGTGCCGTGTGATTTTTAAGCAAGCATTCTGCACGAAATCAATATACAAAAATTATATTTTTTTAATTTTATCTATTTTTTAAACAGAACATTGTATTTTTATTAGTACTTTAAAACAATTTCAACACTTTGTAATATAATTATTGCAATTGTAGACTGAAAAATACTATTACCTTAAATATGTAAAGTCCTAAAACCTAATTGCGTAAAATATATTCTAGTTAAATCCTTCTAATTTTTAATACCAAAAAGTATTAAGTTTATTAATTAGATATTTCTTGTGCACAGCTTATCGTCTATTTCGGTAACTTGGTGGCCTCATACTTGCTGTCGTTCTGCATTTCTCTGGCCTTCGAAGCGCCAGTAGTAAATTTGTTAAAAATTGCATTCACCTCAAAGAAAAGAGAGAGGTAGAATGCGATCATTCGCTTAATAGAAGAACAAATGTGATTATTCAACACGGTAAATATATTAAAATTATGCATGTAAATTATCAGATCAGTGATAACTATACGAAACTATGCATCGTAATAACATATTATAAGAATAATAATATGTTTTATAATGACTATAATAAAAATCATGACATTGCAAAAATATTTAATATGTTACTTTTTTTATTAACATATCAGTGTTTCTTGCAGATAATGATGTTGTTCCGAATTTCTGAATCTCAATGAGAAGAAGATGAAAATCATTGAATTACTGAATTTATAGAATGTACTTGTGGCCAGAAATCACCGATATTCGGTAGTTCGTAATAATAGAGTCATAAAAATTCAGTAATAACTCATCGAATACTTCATGATATGATGATGACATAAATATTTCATGAAATAGGTCCTAACTTCTTAACATTAAATTCTTTTCCTAACAATAAGACACAAAAAGCTAAATTGCTCATAAATCAGCCTGTCATTATTAATAAAGAGAAAATATTAAAGAGCCATTTTAATATGGTAATCATTCCAAAAATACAATAATACAATCGATACAAAGATTCGTTAACACTTAAAAATAATTGAAAAATATAAAAAACTCTTATGCAATTTTTATCAAGTTGAAAGAACTCTCGAGTTCGAGGCAACACCCTGTGCTAAACACGCGAATTTTTTTCCCCGATCTAGATATAACGATTACGTGTTAAACAGCAAGATCTGCTAATGCAATAACCGTGTTTCTTTATGTAATAAATAAGAAAAACTAAATCACTGATTATGAAACATAAAATCACACAGTAAGTTAGAAGATTTCTTTCCGCTGATCTATTATCGCATACATACGTGTCGCATATATACGTATAGATGAAAAAAATTTATAGTATAACTATAAACGTATAAGTTAGTTAAAAATAGCGGCAAAAAAATGTTCACATGTGCAACACATCAAATATACTGTAACACAACATAATCTTTTTGTGTGTGCAAAATAAAAAACATACTACAGCAAATTAGGATTTTGCAGTTTTTATCGTGCATTTGGCATCGCATTGTTACACGATATAATAAATTTAGTCACGAGAACAACGCAAAGAGATGAAAAAAATAGGTATGCATGACGCGTTTGTTTCAGAATTTATGAATACTACGCGAAATAACTGACGGTCCGACAAACAAAAAAAAAAGAAATATTGCAAAGGGTCGATAAGAAAGAAGTAAATGAAAAAATACACACAACGTTATCACCGCATACATCCACATGAAAGTTCAGAGAAGACGATTTGTTTATATTGAACAATATATCAATTATATTGAACAATATAGCTATGTATTTTCACTTCATAGATAATAGTTTAAATATAAAAAATTTATAAATATATTATTATAAATTATTTTGAATTTATTTGATGCATTACGCTTCTTTTTCATCACAATTCTTTTTCAGTGTCTTTTTATAGCAAAACTCAATTTGTCATTGCGTTTCAGCATTATCAAGCTGAAATAAGTCTGCCGCTGCTTATCATTGGCTTCCTGGCATATCCAGGCGCACAAAGGTTTGATTTCCTTTTCTGCTTTTAATAACCATAAAGTGGTGCGTGACGTGAAAGGAGGCGCATGTCGCAAATTGATTTTCGATGCTCGGCAGACAACTCCGAATGCGCCGACACTGCGTTTAAACGCGTTATCTGTCTGTTGCAAATGCGAAAATAATTTCAAGTTTCTTCAAGGATGTGACCATCTGTCACCACCAAAATGATGACAAATAGCTAATTGCATTGTACATTGATTAAAATGAATAAATATACGCAACAATATTTTAAAAATATTTAAAAATATTTAAAATATCGATCAAAAAATTTTGAAGTAAACTAGTAGAACACTTTAAAATGCGCGTATTTAAAAAATTGATCAAAATCTGAATCTATAAATATATATATAAACACAGCGTATTGTACACTGAGAAAAAAATGTACTAAATTTTAATAAATATTTATTTGAATAGTACTAATAACATATTTACTAAATGTAAATATATATTTATTTAGTACAAGAACCAGTAATTTAATTTAAGTATTTTTTTTTTATTTTTGAGTAAATATTTATTCACCGTAAATAAATATGTTATTAGTACTATTCAAATAAATAATTATTAAAATTTAGTACATTTTTCTCTCAGTGTATGATGGTGAAGAAACATTCAATACATTTTTCGAAGAACGTCGATATATTCTTTCAATTTCTATATAGTTTGCAATCTGCACATTTTCAATTTCATCTCAACCTTATTTTATACACGTCACTTACTACTATATGCATATAGACTAAGAGAAAGCATAAGGAATAATACAATGGTAAACATTTGTAGAACGTTTAGCGATAGCATATTGTTATAACGTACAAAGCAAATATTGATTATAAAGAAAATTTACGGCGCAGTTGCTGCTGGAAATTGTAAAATGCATATTTTTGCAAAAATCTATAACAAAATATTTTTAGTTTCAATAAAAATTCACTGGAAAAAAATAATATCATTTGTCAACGCTTAAAATTTTGTTGAAAAAGGAACAAAAGCAGAGAAGTGAACGTTCGAGATATCGTATCGCGCAGTTAACAACTCAAAAACTTGTTATTAATGGATTGCGATTATGTGTAGATTCTAAATGTATTAACACGTATATAAATTATACTATGACTATATAAAAAATTCATATAAAAATATGAAATTAGCCTTTCATTAAGATATAACAAAGAAAATTTGTAGATATTTTTTTCTTAAACTTCATGACATTGCTTAAAGTGTCGAGTCCACTTAAGACTTAAAGTAAATGTAGCGGATTTCATGTTAATTAAAACGTCAACGTTTTACGTCTGTTAGAGCTCATTTAAACGCCCAGCAAAATGTCTTCCGCTGACGACACAGCTTTATAGAATAAATGTTGAGCTGACCAAAGCTCGATGTCAACCATCTGACATCCAATACAGATACACTAAAATACACTGAGAACATTGACGAAGGAATTAAAGTCGCTCTCAGATCAATATCCACTCTATTTCAATACAACTGCATATCGCTTTTTATGTTCCACTAATACGTATACATCTATTTATAATTTTGATGTATAGAATGCGGCCAAAATTGTATTACAGCATTATCTACACTCTATTTTGAGTTGAATTTTGTTCAATCTTCTTCTGCTTGTATTTCATATATGCGATTTCAACCACAGCTTGAATAATAATGTAATTCCTTCCTTTCGATTTTGCTATTGTTTCCACAATATTCACATGATATTATATATTCGCTATTTTAATACGGAAAACCGCGTTAAATTCTCTTAGACTATGTTTAACCGTGTATATTCGAAAATCGCTCATCTGTTTGCTGTGATTTTGCGGCTGCAAAACATGGCAGTCTCTCTGTGCATTGCCGCAATGATAGCGCCCACACACATACGAGAAAACGCCGGATGTGATTGCGGATGTGCTTAGCGCGTGTGGATATCATCAAATTAAATCCACAACATAACTGAGTAAAGACACGTGCACGACACCACGACCGCAGACTTGACATCTCATTAAGAAAATCGATATCACTTTAATTATCATACGAGTCTTTCTGGAGGGTCGAACGTAAACGCAGCAATTAAATGGACAAAAGGTGCCTTCAAACGGTTGATTAAAACTAGACTAAACGTTTAATTAAAAGTCACTTGTACTTCCACATATTTGTACATTTCAAACACAATTGCAATTATAAGTTTTAGGAAATGTCTGTTTCAACAATAGCACTTTAATTGAATAAAGCGTGGACGGTCGTCATGACGCGAAAAATACAACATGTTATTTGTTAATCCGTCCATCCTTTTAGCGGCGGGAAATTTTCTACGGAACGTTGCCTATATTTTGTTTGACGCAAAAAGAGCCAGTTTATCTGGTAGCCAATTTTAATTAACTTTCTTCTAAAATCTGTCCGATGTAATCGCAACATTTAGAAGAGTTCGGTTTTCTGAACTGAAACGTGAAATACGGAAATTGCTTCGAGAACACCGCAAAATGCATGCGAACATACAAAAGCCATAGTGCTGGCAAGCGAATATTGTACACAAAAGCGCTATTCATAAGCGATGTGTAATATGCATTCAATCGCATTTATCATTTAAGCACTATAGTTTCAATGAAACTTTGGAATTATGCGTCACCATCATCGTTGTGTGATATAATCAAATATTATTAAGACAAAACTATATTAAAAAAGTATATTCAAATTTATATTTCTCACACATGTACGATTTAGAAGAGTGTTTAAAGTTTCCCATATTATTTAAGAATATGATGCAAGACTGTAATGTGTAATTAATAAAACTCTTGACAACATAATTAAAAAGTACAATATCTCATACAATTTCAAAGTGCATATACAATTGCATATACATCTATGCCGCTCATTCGCAATGTACTCATAAGCTCTTTGCATTTGCTTTGATGAGTGTGTCCGCCTGCATTCTTAACCGGGCTTAACGTAACCTACTTCCGGCCGATGCAACTTCCTTGCAATTAGCAAGCTGAGCTGCATCTCATACGTTTCGACGTCGTTGCATCTTTTTACGAAGGAATTTTCACGTAAGTACATTTCTCTCGTTGCAAGTAGTATATGCGAGCTATTTTTCTAACACAAATTCTCATCTAGTGCATAACTCGTTACAAAATGATTGCGTTAAAATAGCACCGAAATATACAATGGCAAATTTTTCGAATGCTGAATTTGATTTGTTTCATTATTCACGTGCTATAAGCGGGTTGGGAATATTTATGTAATATCAGTCATATCTAAATTTGTCATAAAATCGATCGATCTCTTTCCGGAGGTCGCAGAGAATGATTGTCCTTTCAATAAAAATGGAGAAAATCTGTAGATTTCTCAGGGATTTACGGATTCATAAAACTTAGCTTCGTTTTAATTATCGTTCCGAAGGAAATGTTTATAAATTTATTTGCAACTGTGATGAGATTTTAAATATCTTTACAACGAAATTAATATACACATAAAACCATTAATCTTGATACCGTGTTTTTGCAGTTTTGCCGTAAGATCAAAATTTTTATTTTAATATCTGTGTGAAAGAATTAATCCATTATTAATCCAATGCAGCTTCAGAAATATCATACACTATAAGATTACTTTGTTATATATATATGTAATACTGCCGTAAAAATATTATTGATTACAAAAGAGAACGTATTTTATATCGAAACAAAAAGATTGAAAAGCGTAATCTGCCATACAGTAGTCATCTTTAATTAAATTTAAAATCATGTTTATTATTACAAGTATTAATTTAAAAATTCATAATCTCCAATTCGTAATAGATACATTAATTGATATCTAATTTAATATTATTTTAAAGATAGAAATCTCTGCAAATGTCCAAAGAAATGACGACAATAAGAAGAGCTTGTACAAGATAAATAAATTTTGTTTGAAGCAATCGATAATTGCTGCAACTTCGTAAAATCGCAAGAATAATCAACTTTGGGAAACAAAAGTTCTTCTTTCTTAAGTGAGACAACCTCCGCATATTCGATTACCAACCCTACAATTTTTTTCTAGGCTTTCCGCGAAAATCTGATATCCGTGTGGCACATGCGCGGATAACGAAGCGCGCAAGGTAGCCTAGACCATTTTCAGTCAGTCGGCTGAGGGCCGTTGAGGAACTCGAATCTTGCATGAGAATTTCGGTGCCCGCGATACACGCACGAGGTTTCGGAAAGCATCGTCAAAGACTGACAGAAATCGCAACTGATCTACGCAAAAAAATGCATATTTCCGTGATATCGAACCATTGTAAGGCGCGATCAATAATAAAGTTCAAAATGATGTTCTGCTGACTAGTCAGACTGTCAGAGTAGAACCTCTGGTCAAATATCTAAAAGAATAATGCCTAAAATTTTCTCACGCAAAAAACTTAAATGTGAAAATAGGATGTCGTGCGGCAGTGATTAATCGCAACTCCAAACAAGCAAAAGTTTAGTTGTAAAAGTTCGGTCATATGAAAGAATCTCCAAAGAGAATACGGATGTGATTCGACTGATAGAATTGAGACCGACGAACTTGAGGTTACTTGTGAATTTCCGGGAATACGTTGGCATGTTAGTGAGATAGAGAAAAATCGATCTTTAAAGTGTCTTCGACTTTAACTTTTGTTCAATAAAAAAACATATCTTTGAATTAACTAAAATATATGTTTAATTAAAGTGTAATTAATAGATATTTCAGCAAAATTAATGTGTATTAATTAGAGAAATTAACTACTCTAATTTATTGATTATAAGAATATTTAATAAAAAAGAATCCTTTTTTAATTATTTAAAAGCTAGACAATTATCTTATTGTTAAGAGAAAGACAATTTTTTTAATTACATTATTTTTTATCATTAAAATTTTGTGCAAACCACCCTTACAGCAAGCGCAGAGACCGAATTAAAAGTTTTATGGAATATGTGCAAATTTGATATAAAAATATTACAACATTAGTATCTACAAAATTACTACGCCGACATACTAAATGTGGTACACCAAACTACCAGATGTGTTCGATGAAGGATTTATCGAACGGAAGTTAGTGTGCGTGAGGGTTAATTCCTTTAACTACAACGACGAGAAATATACACGAAATTGGTCAAGCATGAACAAGGGGAGATCCGATGTAACAACTACCCGGAAAATTTTCGTAGCTCACATCACGAGGATTTCACGTCCTATAAATTAATTTCCAGGTACGTTGATTGGCCTGTCCTGACACCGCATCTAAAATTATATTCTACCTCAAATATGTCGCGACTGACACACAGCAAATATGCGGATATAATGGATAAAACAACTGTCCATCTAATTAATATTGCGGTAATGTCAATTAACATCAACGTGAATCATAACAAATTAATGTTGTTGTAAACTTACAATTGCAAATTTACGATTTAGCAAGATTTATAGAAATTTATCATCACATACATATTGTTACACAATATTTGTTTGTGAAATACTCATTCGATAATATTAATATTTTAAAATTAAATCAGTAATATATAAAAATATAAAGTATTTCTTTTTACATATTCTCGTTTATGAAACATTTACATCATATATTTCATGCTCCGATAGCTGTTGGAATCAAACGTAAAGAAATCGAATATTGATTAATGAATTCTTTTACTTTGAACTTGCTTCTTTGAAAGATATGGAATTATTCGCATTCAATTACAATTATATGGCAATATGTCATATTCACACGACTTTGACTCATTATCCAAAAATTCCGTCAATTGTGTGAGTTCTGTTCACATCTCACAGCATGACGTATCGACTTTCGATACCCGCCCATTGCTGATTCACGACTGCGAATGGTTTCGACGGGGTCTCTACTCTCCTTGCAGCATTAACCCACGTCACACGCTATGACGCTTAATAAGTGAGATATAGAGACACTGGATCGTTTCCAGATCAAAAAAACTGCTATTTCACTCTGAAATATTACTTCTGCCTTATTGAATCCGTAATCTTTTCTCAACAAGACGCGCATGACATCGATCGATCAAATTTTATTACATCCAAAGATGCATACAAGATTGTGGTACATAATGAACGTATCGTAGATTTTAACACGTGCACGTAATCCACTAAATTTATTATAGACAGTAATTTTTTAACTATTGATTTTATAATTAAATTTGATAGCATCAAATGCTTTTTTTGAAAAAAATTGTCTATTATCTTGTGTCATTATAACGGCGCCATTATGTTTAATTAATGCAGTTAATTCCGGCAAAGTAATGCTAAGTGCATCATTTCTTACATGTTTTATACTCCGTTACTTGATACTGAGTTTATATAATGGCGAAAGTTTATCAAAGGGCAGTACAAGAGAATAGAAAATCCTGTCTGAAAGATAAATTCGTTTCGAAAAAATCAAGTCACTCTCACAATAAATCTTAAATATTAGTCTGAAACGAAATAGCACACATATATACAAGTCGATAGATAATATTCAATTTATTCTTAATCGCAATTTGCGATTGATTCGTCGCATAATTGACATCTCAATAAAAAATTCGACAAAAAGTTCAATAAAAATAAAATAGATTTGGAAGTCAACAGGCAAAAAAAAACATGAGAAAAATGTGAGAAAATAATGGACCGTTTTTCCCATGTTTTAAGCCCGTCGATATCCTATTACGATGCAAGCGATAAATTTTTAGCACAATGTTTTATTCAATATCACGTTCGCGAGCTCAAAATGCTTTATACTATAACTCTATAGAACAAAGAATATGTTTCTCACAAATAAACATTAGTATAATATAGATACCGATAACAATGGAATGAGTACATAATTAGCATGGAAATTCAATAACATGAAAATTCGATTCCATGCTTATTTAATCGGAAGTAATTTAATTGACATATTAGGCATGTAATTATAAATAATCTTTGACACAATTAATAATATATGTGTTTTGCAGCCAAATTTGCGGCATAATAGATGTGTCCGAACATATGGAGATTAGTTCAACGGCCTAATTTAGATACACCGGGTCGGATATATTTAGCCGATCAAACAACGTATATATTAATGAGAGATGGTATATATAGAAATTATTCGATTAATATAATTATAATTGTTTAAAATAAACTTTAACTGTTTATTTATTAGAAAATGATAAAAATGTTCAAGACAGATTCTCAATGTTTTCTTTCATGTACCAATTATCTCATTCTTAAGTATTTACAGTTACAGATATATACAATTTAGAAAGAACAAATATAATAACAAAAAATAAGAAACTGGAACAAAAGTAATTGAGATAAGTTTAAATCCGCGCAATTGCAACACTATTCCTCCCCTCCTGTCCCTTTACTCCCGCGCCGAGTGTAACTCGATATGTGGACTGGCAATGGCCTGATTGCAAGACAGTTTTTTACTTTCAAACCGCACGCGCTGCCAAAACTTTCATAAAGAAGTAAACGTGTTACTCAGATTCATTCGAAAGGCGAGTCGAAAAGCAGACGATAGGAATTGCCCATATTTGTCGAAGTGGATACGATACGATACCCGCCTGCGGGATATTATATATCCAGAATTCAAGATTCAAGTTTCGCGTCTCGTTAACCCCGTGACCCCTTCGCGATCAATTCCAGATGGAATTTTATCTGTACGAAAGTCGAGCCAATGGAGACTTCAAGAAAACGTATGCGAAATATCGCGGCGAAACTGTAGTAAAAAACACACGCAAGATTCGTAAATATCATCTACAGGTTTAATATTAACGCCCGTACTCACGGTTGCACATTGTACATCATGCAAAACGACAAATTTACATATTTTCTTCTTAAATTTAAGTTCGCCGCTTGAAAACTTTGTAAATAAATGTTAATAAAGTTTAGGCAGTGCGATTTTGGGTTCTTGGTAAGAAAATTTATTGCGCAGAATAAGTCAGCATGATGGCAAAAGTCAGCAAGAAAAGTATTTGAATATTTATATGCTTATATATATAAAGTTATCCTTTCCCGTCAATCCTTCAATTTGTACGAATGTGAGGACGCATACATACATTCGCACATAGAACTACCTTTTCGTAATACCGCTTAGAGTTTTCGTACATACTTTACTGCATGTTACTCCTTAGTTTGACAACGTCGTGCGAGACTTCGCGGGTAGTAGAACTTTTATTACGTTCTTACACTGTAATCCTATGTGTTATATTGTTGCCTCATTCCTTTTCAACGTAGCGTTCGTATTACCGAATACACATCAAGAAATTTATTTAAAAATCTTGTAAAGTTGTATAATAATCGAAACCATATTTATACATATGCATACATATGCTAATTTATTCACCCCTGACCCAATCATAATTCTATAGTTACGTGAATACATCCACATTCAATTATAACGTAATATTACCTGAGAATTTATTGCCGTAAAAAAAATTATATATGCACAGAGATCGTTGTTATAATTACTTAATCCAAATATTCATGAATTAAGTACATTAAAATTCTTTAGAATAATATACACGTAGACCATCTATCCACATATTGTCTTCGAGATCATCTTTACCATTGCCGTTCATTAGTAAGATGAGCTCTCATTTGCGAAATAATTAATTAAGCATTACCATTATACAAAATAAAACCGTGCAATTTTACGTCAAAATAATCTACGAAAATTGCATTTTCCGCGAGCGTTATAATTGATTTTACTTTATGTACGCTAATTAAATATCTTAATGAAGTATCCTATGCAATATTCAAATGTGTACACACATGCTCGCGCACACACGCACACACATATACAAAAATTATTTTCGAGAAAAAACATAATAATATAATTATCCAATTTATCCAAAGAAAGATTCCTTAAATTTAACTTTCACGAGTTCGATAATGTCATTCGAAAATGTATTCACAGCCACCCGCATTCAGCTGACAGTAAAATGCGTTTTCACCTAGAAGATTTTACGGCACATTTTACCGGACTATCCCTTGGGTAAATCCTCCAACCCGTTTCACGTCGTGGATCAAACTTTTAACCAGAGTTCTCACGACAGAGGAGATAAAGCGGCGGACTGTTTTGTACAAATTACGACGGAACCTTTTCGTACGACTTGCCCTAAGTTGGTGCAGAATTATCGTGCACTTTCGACAGTCAGCGACAGTCAAGGCATCTAAAATGCGAGCGCAAACAACGGAATTAGAATAAGAATCTAATTTGGCGAACTAACCGAGTAATCCACGAACTTTACAACACATTCAAAAATATTCATATTACAATGGAAGTAAAAAGTTTAAAGGCTATTATTTTCCCTCGCTCGAGATATTCTTTCACATAGGCTCGAAAACAATCTTTTGCAATTTAAATATCAACTTGTAAGTAACCGCGTTTTGACGATCGTACTCAATTGAAACTCGGCTACAAAAATTCACTAAATAATTCCAATTACTTTGTTATTCTTTTCTAAAAAAGTGTTACTTTAATATTAAAACCGTATTATATAAAGATTTGATTCTAAAACTAGAGAGGTATGCATATACTTCATGTTTTAATATTCATTTTACTGAGAATATATATCTTCTAGGTTGCTTTTTAAAAAATTGATATAAATGTAGTTGAAAGCCACGTAGAATTCTATAATATACAATGCTTGAAGCTATGCAATGGTATGTATCCCTCCGACAATATTCCGTATTCTGAGAGTATTTAAACGGTATCTCTGACCCAATCTTTAAAATACAATTCGCAAGAATGGAAATGGTTTAGCGCAGCCTAATCTAAATCTTCCTATGGCACGCTACATTTCAAACTTTGAAAATAAATTAATGTTATTAGCTTTACAAGCTTTCGAAACTTTACGAACTGAAAGGTGAATAAATCTTCGAAAATATCATTTAATTAAAAAAAAAATGTAAATTAACATGTACAACAAAACAATTTAAAAACATCACACATAGAAAATGCTCGTAAAACACGTGAAGCTAAACGCGCGAACAGTTTTTATAAAATACAAGGGAACATGGAAATAAAGTTGTCACTATAACACAGCGACTCCTCTTTCATCATGACGTTCTAAAAGGTGCCAATATCGGTCTATTTGCTCCTTATTTGCTGCATCCTCTTTGTCTTTACCCCCCCCC